CACATATGGTGGACTTTGGAAATTAGACCAAAAGCTGCATGTACTTCTATGGCCTATGTTCAACTAGACTGGAAAGAAGAAGTTATATTGAATAGCTTGGATCCTGTTGGTGACATAGGCAAGCATAAGTGCTCTTCATATCATTCTAACGTCAATGTACAAGGAGGTATTCATTACCTATTTATTTATTTATTTAAAACATTTATATTCCTCCCTTCTCACCCCTCAGGGGACTCAGGGCGGAGCACAACATATATATGGCAAACATTCAATGCCACACATAAAACCATAAAGATATAAAAACATTAAAATCTCCTATATCCACATCAAAAGTTTCTTAAAAACATCTCAGGACACCATTTTGCCTCATGACACTGCCCAAAGGCTTGGTCCCACAGCCAGGTCTTCACCATCCTTCTGAAGAACAGGAGGGAAGGGGCTGATCTAATATTGCCAGGAAGGGAGTTCCATAACTGGGGGGGGGGCAATCACTGAGAAGGCCTTGTCTCTCATCCCCACCAAACGTGCCTATGATGGTCATGGGACCGAGAGCTGGGACTCCGCAGAAGGTTTTAATTTCCACAGTGGCTTGTGTTTGGACAGGTAAACTGGGCCGGGGCTGTATAGGGCTTTATAGGCCAAAGCCAGCACTTTGAATTGTGCCCAGTAGCAAACAGGCAGCCAGTGGAGCTGATGTAAAATGGGAGTTGTGTGCTCCCTGTATGCCACCCCAGTTATTAACCTGGCTGCTTTTCATTGGACTATCTGAAGCTTCTGAACTGTCTTCAAAGACAACCCCACATAGAGTGCATTGCAGTAGTCTATCCTGGATGTATCGAGAGCATGGAACCAAACTGCTATTGCCTGGAGAGTGGCTCTGTGGTCCTTCAGTGGCCAAGAGAGGATGTGAAACATTATCTACATATATGCAACTGGGAACACAAAGAAGATGCTGCCTTCTTTAATCTCTAGAAGATCCAGATGATTTGGTCTTGTTGATGCTTCCCATTGCAGAAACAGCAGGGCTGTCTGAGCACCTTTTGTCCTGCTCAGTCACTAAATAGGCATGAGGTATGATGGGGTATGATGTGGAAGATGATAGGTCAGTTATGTGGACAGAGTAAGCCAGGAGAACACTTTGTTAAGGAGAGGCAGGATTACAGTCAATGTACTCTACATGTCCTGGCAATGGACAACCTGTATTATGTGAAACAGCTACACAAGTTTGTTCATATTACAGCTAGCTGCAATTAGCAATCTCTTTGAACTGTAAAAATAATATAAGACAATAAATGCCCATTTACAGCACAGTTGCAGAAATAGGACCCAAGGATTATATCTTACTGGTAATTCTGACTAGAGTAGACCCATTAACTCAAATGTTGATTCCAGAGGCAGCATACATGTAAAATAACATTGCTTCAGTTGATCTACTTCAGTTGAAACAAGCAACACGGTACAAGCCAAGAACAATACTGACTTCTTTATTTTAATTCTTGCTGAGCTCTTATGGGTTTTGCAGCTACTGAGAAGGGTCATTATTTAGTGTCTATGCAGTAAAGTCCTGCAATCAATTTTGGTAAATGTTGCTACACACATGTAAGATGATAAGCCACCTTATATGAGTTGACTGTTGGTCTGGCTACATAGTTGTGGCATGTCTACCCCCCCCCCTTAAGGTAGATGAGATGGATGGCATAATATTCTCTGAAATGTGTTGATATGTACTACTGGGGACCCTTCTACATAGCCATATTACCCAGAACATGAAGGCAGAAAATCACACAATATCTGCTTTGAACTGGGTTATCTGAGTCCACACTGCCATATATTCCAGTTCAAAGCAGATAATGTGGGATTTGTTGAGCTGTGTGGAAGAGACCCTGGGATGGGAGGCCTGAACTAAAACAGAATGACTCAATCCCATAGTGGGCAACGATGTCAAGATATCAATCCATCTTTAAAAAGAAAATCAAGAAATTTCATCTATCCCAAGACAGGCAGGCCATAAACAATAATCACTCTTCCTGATGGTTTGCTACCAACCAACAAACAAAAAAAGTTTTACAGTTACTTTTTCATCTTTTTTATCTCTCTTTGAGAAAGGCTTTTACAGAATTGAGATTTCAGAAAATGCCAGCCGCCTTCTGGAGGAGATGTACTTCCACATCCCTGTAACTGACAGATTGTGGTTTTACGATAATGGCTGCACAGGAGACTTATGTATTATCTGTTATGTTGTCCACTATACACTGGCCCTAGAGAGTGTTGTCACTGTTTAAGCCACAATGCAGCAGCTAGACAACTCAGAACAAAGTATTTTGTTATATGATGAAAGAGTATATTTTTCTAAATATGTAGGATTCTTTGCAATTGCAACAAAGAAAATCAGAATGAAAATCCCAACTCAATTGGTTTTTTATAATAGGAAAGTATGATGCTTTGGAGAATTACTATTAGAAATAGTACTATTTCTTTTTAGAAGCTATAAATCAGTGGTTCCCAACCTTTTTTTGACCAGGGAACACTCCCCAACATTAGCACCTGTAGACCATTTTTGGTCAACTTTAGATTCGATTTGGTTACTTGGGCTGCTGATTCAGAAAATTGCATTGGATAGACCACATCAGCTGTAGTTTTGATACAGAACATATGCCACCCTGTAGTCGCCATCTACCCACAGAAAACCATATTTAATAAGCCTTGGCATTATAAGAGAGTTTCATAAGACCAGTCACTCTCGTTGCAAAGGTGTAGTAATGTGAGGCCACAGATCATATTTTAGTTCTTGCAGACCACTGGTGGTCCACAGATCACAGGCTGGGAACCACTGCTATAAATAGTTCTTAAATTGTGTTTTTCTTATTTTTTTTATATAATCAATATACTATATTGTGTATTCGTCCACATTAGCAGTTACTTCTCTATGTTGTATTTTGTGATGTGTGTTTGTCCATGGTTATAAGCAATAAAACTTTGGACTGAATTGCTGTTGCTGGTGGAAGTAGCTGTCTCTGGTAGCCTCGCAGGAAAGCTTTTCCCATTTCCGTGTAGGCATAAACCTATATCTATGCAATCATCATCATCATCATCATCATTATCATCATCATCATCATCATCATCATCACCACCACCATCATTTTTTCATCCACAAGGAGACTGTGGTCCAGAATGGGAGTAGTCCTAGAGTTGCTTCTGGGATTATTGGGAATGTACCAGTCGCATCACTTGCCATGGCTGCTATTATTGCATCTGTTTATGTTTAAAAGCAGAGAACTATGTTCTGCCAGGGTTAAACAGGGCTGTGGCATCTTTGTAAAATGTTTAAAAGCAATGTTTTTTGGTTGGGAAGATTAGCCATTTACAAGAAATGTTGCTCAGGAGACACTTAACTGTAGTTGCTCAGTCTTCGATGGGAAGTTGCTGTTAAGTGTGAGAGAAATAAGGTTGAACACTGTGAAAGCCATCTACTGCATGGCTATCAGCCTCCTTCCAGTAAACTCAAATCAAGGAAAAGCTTCATAAGGACCACCACTCCTCTAACTGTTCTCAGAACAACAGCAAGAGCATCCCTCTGGGCAGCTAAACCAAGAAATTCCAAATGGATAGTCTCCAATGAGGGTCTGCCTTCAGGGGCAAACCAAGAGTGGACAACTTAGAAGTCCCTGAACAGACTCAAAAGTGGAACTCCAGCTGGCAGATCAAAAGACAACCTGGCAAAATGGCACTACCTAAAAGAATCCTCCACCTTGAGCAGCTGTGGAGCAGAACAAACAACTCAGGACCTGTATACTTGTCCACAATGCCCTGCCTCATGTACAGAGGAAGAATTGCTTAAAGCTACAGACAATGCGGTTGCTGTTGCCCGCTTTTGTCAAAAATTATTTGGTCGTGTGTCCTCCCTCTATTTTATCAGTTTTTATGCTTATTTATGTAATACTTTTGACACAAAATAATAAAAGTTTATTTGTACAAAGCATGTGTTCTACAATTGAGCAACAACTTTGTTCCCTTAATATTATTCTGCAGAATACGGATGTGCAAGGAAGACTGAGGTGCTGAAAGACACTTTATTAGGTTCACAGCAGAACTGAAATTTGAACCCAAACTTATCCGCTTCATAGCTAATTCTCATAACCACTATAACCACTATACTATATTAAGGTCACTGTGCAAGCCCCTGGTGGTGCAGTGGGTTAAAGCCCTGTGCTGGCAGGATTGAAGACCGACAGGTCGCAGGTTCGAATCCGAGGAGAGGCAGATGAGCTCCAGCTTCTCATGCGGGGACATGAGAGAAGCCTCCCACAAGGATGATAAAAACATCAAATCATCTTGGCGTCCCCTGGGCAACGTCCTTGCAGACGGCCAATTCTCTCACAACAGGAGCGACTCCTGACACGACACCCCCCCCAAAAAAAAACAACAACTGTGCAAGCACTTTCTCCATTACTACAATTAACAAAAATCCTCTGATCATTTCTAGACAGATTTCAAAGGTTATATTCAGTCTAATCCTCCAACAGAATGAAAAACTCTGAGAAGAATGGATTCTTTCTCACTCCTCCAGCTCTGATAAGCCTGCTTTGGAGTTTGGGGATTCTTCCAAGCAGACTGGGATATGGAACACTACAAAAGAGAGAACAGGATGTCTATTTTCTTCCATGGAAGTTTGCTCAAATGATGTTGAATGGCACCTCAAGCTAGAAAATTCTGAAACATCTGTCTGATATATGAGCACAGCCTATAACCAAATTCATCACAGGGCCAGCCTAGAAACAGCATTACCTATTTTATTCTGCTCAAGCTGTGAAAGCACAACCAATTTTCAAACTATTTCCCCCTGATTCTAAACAACATAGCATGATGGTTTGCAATATTGCTCATGGATAATGATACTGGAAGGGTGGCAATAAAGAGAAATGAGTATTATCAAGGAGAACATATTTTGTGCAAGAAAAACTTAGCTGCCTTCCAGGCAGTAGTTTCAACAGTGTACTCACCTGTTTGAGATAAAAGTGGTGTATAAGGGATTTTCGGTTCTATTGCACTCATTGGTGGAGGTAGCAAGGGGTTGGCGAAGCTGCGGAGAGGATGCGTAGGCCGGACACATGCTGTTGGAATTGTCCTGCTTGGGGCATCCTCATTGCTGGGATGTTCAGGCTGTGATTGTGGTAACATGGTCGTTTGTTGTGGGGCTGGTGCTTCACTCACTGCTGCAAGAAGATAAGTAGACATTTAAGACAATTTTCGTCCCAAATCCTGGACACCAATGATATTTTTTTTTGTAGGAGCATACTCCAAAGCTAAGAAATGTACTTGTCCAGGTTCAATTATACTCTTTAGCCTTGTAGGAAGAGAAGGGGGAAAAGTTGAAATTTTATTCCAGTCAAATATGTCCTAAACTCATTAGCTAGTCACAATTGTTCAGGTAAACCCACTCAATCAATGAAATTTACATATGTTTTGATTCAATGTTTGAGTTAATGGGATTAACAAATGGATTGACCTTCAACAGTTAATTCAGAATTTGAGATTAAGCAAGGAGCATCCATTTTTCATTGGCTGAAAAATAATTTACAATACATAACTTATGATACATGCTGAAATGGAAACAACCACTGTTTTCATAATTCAGGCCATATTTCTCATTTGGACTAATGAGGAATCCAGGAACTGATGTGGTGGTTGCCTGCCATAGATGCTGGGGAAACGTCAGGAGAGAATGCTTCTGCCCATACAGACCGGAAAACACACAACAATCCAATGTGGTAGTTATTTATGAATTTGTATGGGCATAAGTTAGCTGTTCATAACTTTTCACTGAAGCTCAGACTTTGGTTTCAAATGATAGCCAAAACAGACAAATGACCATGCATAGAATACATCAAATGACTGGATTAGTTCCTTTGCATAGACCATTAGATCATTAAAATGACTGTAGTTTCTGATGAGCACTAAAGTCAAAGAGGTTGCTTAATTTCTGTTTGAATGATTCCCAGCTCCATTTTAACTTAAGACATCTGTAACAGTACCAAAGCTTTTGCTTTCTGCTTTATTACCTTATATCCAGAATCAATTTTTCTGTGGTTTGAATAGTCACACCAGAGTTGCATGCATAATTTGAGGCTATCTTACTGTCAGGTATCTTCCTTGTAAAAGAGGGCTTGTAGGAGAAGCCTGTGAGTACATGAACCCAATGGGCACTCCCCATCCTGGACACAAAATCAATGGAATTTTATTTCTCCACAATGACTGCTGTGTTTGCGATGCAACTTCTGGCAAGCTGTTCATGCTGTGCATGATTATCCCCACTGACAGAGACAGGAGTAATTCTTTCCAAAATACATGCCCTGTTTTGAGTGTGAATTCCTCCCTCCCTGAACTTAATTTTGTGGCAAAAGGCCACATCCTGGCCAGGTCTTATTAACTATAATATTGTGCCAATGTAAGTAGGAGTTCTTTGGATACTACAGAAGGAGATCTCTAGTGATTTGTTGCATACTGGGTTTGGCTGGCTGTGCAATGATAGCTACCATGCTGAGGGCATTTAGTACTTCCCTATGCAGAAGTGTTGCCTACTGTGCAGTGGACTGTGCCATAGTGGAGGCATTGAGAACTTCCTTGCAGAATGGTTTTACCCAGTTGTACAACAGTACTTGGATAGCACCAGGCAAAGTTCCATCCTCAACCCAAAAAGCCACTGCTTGACCATGGGGGTGCATCAGGAAAGCTCCTTCATATGATCACAACTTACCAACTGTTCCTTACTGAACTTCCATGGTTAGGTATGTTCCCTCAGCTCCCTAATATGTCCTTGTTCAATTATCTCACTTTTTTGAAAAAGGAGGGGAAAATCATAATGCAAGTCTGTGAAGATTTTTGGCTGGTACCTTGGAAACCACTGCTAGACAGCAGGGAAAGTGCTGGACTACACATCTCCATTGTAACTTGGCCCTAATAGATGCTTTGAGGCTTATCCTCCAATACTACTACTACTACTACTACTACTACTACTACTACTAATCATCATCATCATCATCAACATCATAATCATTGAAGTACAGATCGTCAATGTTGCAATCCCAGGTGACAGCAGAATGAGAACCAACTGGAAAAGCTTACACGACATGAAGATTTAAAGATCGAACCGCAAAGACTCTGGCACAAGCCAGTAAAGATAATCCCAGTGGGTGTAGTGCCTAAAGTCCTTGGCATGCACTTAAAAACAATGAGGACTGACAAAATTACCATCTGCCAGCTGCAAAAGGCCACGCTACTTGGATCTGCATGCACTATTCACCGATACATCACACAATCCTAGACACTTGGGAAGTGGCCAATGTGTGATCAAATACAAAAGCCATCATAGTGATCTTGTTTGTTGTGTACTAATCTTAATAATAATAATAATAATAATAATAATAATAATAAGTACCCACTTCTCCTTGCAGGCTCGAGGGGGAGTGTGAACTGTTATTACTCTTGTCTCTGAAGGAGAAAAGAGCAGTCAACACCTGTTGAACTTAATCCCTTGCCTTTTCCTTATGTATTATGTTTTATCTGTATTGTAGACAAGACACAGACTGAATTAATGTTTTGTAGGCTACCCCATCTGTCTGTTTTGGCCTTCAATTGTGAGAAATCCTAATAGCTGGTAAATTGGCTGGGATTTCTGGGAGTTATAGGCCACTAATCTATCTGATCTGCACATCATCACAGGCCCACTGAATATGATACTTGCCTTAGATCTTTGTAGTGTGTGATGGGCAACAATGAGATTTACAATTCTCCATGATGCTCTCAAACACCTAATGTGGATGCACTCCAGGACATTGTGAGAAATGTGAAATATTTTCACCTAGCTGCCAACATTTGCTTCTAGACAATTCTCCAGAGTGAGACAGTCTTTGAGAAGAGTCCCATTGCCTCGAGCCAGCCCTGCGTATATTTCTTACATATTTAGCAGGGAAAAGGTTCAGCGACAGTAGCTGAACTCTTACCAAGCTACACAAGATAATTACCTAAAGATCTACTTCTAGCCTCCCACTGTTATGGAATGGACTGAAGCTCTGCAATTTAGGGATGAATATGAAAGTTGCATGTAGGAAGGACAATGAGAAGTAATCCGAAAGGAATAGCTTGCCACACACAACCCAATCCTCATTTGTCTCCCTGTTTTTCTAGGCACTTACTTTTGTAGGAAGATAAGTAATTACCGTCCAATTATTACAGCTTGGGACATAGTAATGACTATCGGCTAAACTGCCCTGACAACGTAATGCAGCCATAACTTCACAGGGCCACCTGGAGCGGAGAAAGACTTTGGTTCAATTTTCATGTCCATTTGTTGCTTGGTTACAAGTCTGGCAGGGGCAGGAACTATGTTAAATTATTGCTTCCCAAATGGTTATTTACGTCACTGAGTGTTTCATTTGCCCAGAGTGGATAAAGTTAAATGCACCAGGCTGGTACCCAAAGTACAGGCACAGCAGGGCCTGATATAACGAGTAATTGCTCCAAATGGAAGAAACACAATATATACCAGCACAGTTAAAATGCCACACCTTTTATTAGAAATAGTGCATAGATACAAAATAAAGGTTCATAAAAATGTCACAGCATACTTGCAGAACAATGTGTTACAGTTGGGCAAACTTTCATTAGTCTGATTAATAATTAGTCCAATAATAATGTGAATGAAACAGATGAGAAAAATCAATATAAGATTTTTTTCCCAATCACAAATCAGAGCATAGCTTTTAGTAAGGTTTGTTGGGGGAAGGATACAGTGGTTGGCCCAAGGTTCAAGTATAGGTGCATAATAATAATAATAATAATAATAATAATAATAATAATAATAACAATAATAATAATAACAACAACTTTATTTTTATGCCCCGCCAACCATCTTCCCATGGGGACTCAGTGTGGCTTATAAGGGACAAAGCCCTCTAACTCCCAAGAGTTGTCCATTCTTGTTTTAGATCTCATGAAAACTATCAGCTGTATATCAACGATTTTCCTGATGCCTTTGTGAAACCAGCACTCTCATAATGTTTGCTATCATCTGAATCTCAGAGTACATCTACACAGTAGAAATAATGTGATTTGATACCACATTAACTACTATGGCTCAATGCTATGGAATCATGGAGTTGTAGTTTGATGATGAACCAGCACTATTTAGAAGAGAAGGCTAAAGACTTTCTAAAACTACAATTATCAGGGTTCTGTTGCATTAAGCTATGGCAATGAAAGCATTGCCAAACTGTGTTAGTGCTACAGTGTAGATGCACTTTCTGTAAGCAATGTTTAACATAGACAAGGAGGCCTATAAGAGTTGAAAACCTTAAGTATTTTGGATGTTCCTGTGTCATTGTAATAATTTTATCTGTACATCTTTGTGAGAACTTCAGTCTTTGGAGTAAAGATGGGAATTGTTTGCTGTTTTTATTCACAGCAAGTGGCAAGGTGTGAGAGCGTGCAAAACAAAACAAAACAAAAACAAACAAACCCCCAAACCCTCAAGTTTTTCATGCAACCCCTTTTCCTCCTGGGAATTTTCATATCATCCCTCCCTTGTTTCCAGAGGAATGAGATGTCTTTGTATGAAAAAAATGAGGATTTGTGTTTGTGTGCAAAATCCACCAGTTTGTACAAAATCCACCAGTTTGTGTGCAAAATCATGTCCTAAATCCTATTATTAGTTCTGACTAAAGCCATTAAACCATTTTAATGTACTCGTGTGTTGACTTATAGAATCATAGAATCAAAGAGTTGGAAGAGACCTCATGGGCCATCCAGTCCAACCCCCTGCCAAGAAGCAGGAATATTGCATTCAAATCACCCCCGACAGATGGCCATCCAGCCTCTGTTTAAAAGTTTCCAAAGAAGGTCTTGCATGGTCTTATGCAATAATTTGTATGTAACTCACTACTATAACTGTGCAAGAAGTCAAGGATTGAAGCTTTAAATAGAGCATAATTAAAGAGTGACTCAAGGATTTTGTAAAACTAAAAGGAGGGGACTCCTCCACCCAGGAGGGAAGAATGATATAAGATATTATGAACTATGGCTGTGTGAGAGTTGTGTTGTTGCTGCTGTTGTTTAAACAAAGAAAGCTCAAATTTTTGAGATCTTGAATGCCAAACTGGAATTCCCATTTCTGTGCTAGCCTGCTATAATCTCAGAAGCCCTGAAAATGAGAAGCATG